GCCCGGGGAGAACATGCAAACTCCACACAGGGAGGCCGGAGCTGGAATTGAACCCGGTACCTCTGCACTGTCAGGTCAACGCGCTAACCACTGGCCCACCGGGCCACCCTGTTAGAATAATATAAAAGTCCATTTCACAAGATGAAACGCTGCAGGAAGACTACTTCGGAGAGCTGGGTCGTCTTCAAAACCCGGCCCGCAACGCCTAAAAATGGTCCACCCCAGATTATGTCCATATCGATCAGAGCAGAATCCACACAGCAACATCCAATTGGAGAATCATCACCTCATCATGTGTGATCGGTTTGACAAGTACTTCACGTCATCCAAAACTCCCATGTGCGCACTTGCAGTCACACAAGCTCGGTTTAAAAGTGCAACCAGTCTGCCGGCTACTGCCACACAGCGCTGTCACACTGATAGTTTTCTTGGCTGGATTAATGACACAAATGAAAGGTCAATTGATATAATGGTGTTTTTTTTTTGTGCGGCTGACTGCAACGCTACACCTGGAAAATCACCGCCAAATTGGTCATTCTCACTGTGCCGTCATGTCGGTTGATCATCTCACCTCTATCTTTAACGTTCATTCAAAATAATACATCAAACCGGCAACATTTATTGTTTGGCAAGTTTCCAAAATGAGTAAGTGTCAGAGATTTTCTCAGACAAAGTTAAAGAAACGACTCGGCACACAGGAAAATTGTCTTCAATATCGACGGAAGCGGATCTCTGAGAGCGAACGACGGTTTAGTTGCTCCGTGATCACGCTCAGAGCCCCCCCTCCTCGAGTTCGAACCTTTATTGTGACATATGCAAAATACAAGATAAACACTGCCCCCGATATTTGCATACCGCACCCCTGGTCCGGCCCCTCGGTAGTGATTGGTTACCTGGGTGTGAGCTTTGAACCACCAGCACTTTGGCGCCTTTCGGTCTGGTCGACACTGTATCAACATATCGCAGACTTTGCGGACGACAAATGTCGCCTGGGCGCGACGGGTGTCCTCAAATCGTCTTTTGTTGTTCAACCGCTGTTCCCAAATTACTCGTTCCCCCTTTGTGACCGGATCTGGCCCTCTCTCCTCTGATCGCCCACCCGCCTTGATGTGTTAATTGTGGTGTGGGCTGCAACAGCCCTCCGCCCAAATGGCCGGCACCTTCTGAACAGGAATTTGGGGGTGCGAATTACGCACCCAGACGCTTCAACGTGCACAGATCAAATGAAACTTAAACATGATACAATTTCGCCCATCGATTCCTCTAACAGTAAGACATGCTACCAACGTAGCCGCCCTGGCTAAAGCCGGCTTGTATACTGTACAGTGCATATTACACGCATAAACATCAGGGAGTGGTGTGGCTTTGGCCATGGCCACGAGGTAGGCGGGCTTAAGTGAGGCTAGATTCAAATCTTGCTCGCAACTTTAAGATTGCATACTGCCCTCTACAGTAGGGAAACTATGAAAAAATTGGGAATTTGAGAAGAGGGCAAATAGTTGTTCACAGCACTGTCTGTACAAGCATACGACTGTCTTGATAGTGTTTGGACTTGTGATGTAGTATGCTTTCGATCATGAGGTGTTCTTCTCCTTCTACAAACAAATCTTTTCCCGTTATTGTAATACAAGTTGACACAGGTTTTTATCCAAAGAATTTCATTCCAGGGCAAGGAAGCCTCCCTGGTTTGAGGCTACTTTTATAAAGAATCGAGGAATGTTTGTTTACCACTTACTGAGGACAAAACTGAATTCAGAAACAAGCAGGAACTGAAGGTGAATAGCATGGGATCTCCAGAGAGAACATTTTAAATATGGTGCTGTCTAAGGGTTCCAGACTTGAGGATAGCTATTAAATCCAAATACATATTAAATTGTCCAAATATTGATGAGCCCATCGATCCATTTTCTATCACTTAATCCTGTCCAGGCAGTGCTGGACAACATGCTTCATGATAGCCTTGTAGACAGTGTAAACAATGATGCCTTTCAGAGGTGCCGCCTGAGAGAAATGCCACCGTTGACATTCAAGAAAGCCTCAGAGCTTTCCCTGGCCATGGATATGGTCACTAAAATGCTGAGACATTACGAGAGGAAATGGAGGATCGAATGCTACGGCTGTGCGCCATGACAGAAGAGAGACTTGCAAAGAGGCCGGTAAGTGTGGAGGAGTACACTATGAAAATTACTGTAAATTTAGAGTGTGTCATCCTGTTCTGTGTCACATAAAAAGGACACAGTGACAAAGTGCAAGAGGTTGAAAAGTAAAGCGAAACCTTGGCAAGGAAAAGCTCTGCAGCTACAGGTAGGCACACATCACCTACAGCAACGGCAAATGACCGAGCAGCAGTGTGTGCCGACAATATGTGTGGTGTAGAAACGTATTGTGTGTGTTAAATGTGGAGAACAATCAAAGCTATATTATATTATAGTCACAGTTGAAAATCAGGACATTTGAGGTAGATTCAGGGGCTATGTCATCAATTATCTGTGAGGAGGCTTAACAAGCAGACCTGCAGATGCTTTCACAACAGTTGCAGCTGTAACAAAGAGCTTTACAGAACAGTTAAGACCAGTTCAGTGCTCTTCAGTGTTTTTGACCGGGATTTATAAGCATTTACACTCAGGGCTGACTTCATTTCTGTTGGCTTATCTCATTTGCGTGCAGCACAACAGCTAAATGTAGCTTCACCATGTTTAATTTTAACTTTGGGCTCCACTAATTGACCCAGGTCTGCAGATCATTCAGTGATTTATAGACCAGTAGCAGATTTTTTAAATCTATGTACTATATTGCTAATTGGGAGCCAGTGTAAAGCCTGTTGAAGTTCAGTAATATGTTCTGGTCTCTCTGAACCCGAGCTGCAGCATTATAATCAGGGACCTTTCGAGGGCTGAGAAACATAAGTCCACCGACTCAGCTAAACTGTGTCGACCACAAAACCTAGTCAAAACAAAATTGTATGCCTCGATACCATTAATAATTGCATAAAGAAATTCCGTGTTTCCACTGGGTCATTTGTTGCTGCAGATGGCTGGTCACTCGTCACACCCTTCTAGCATTTGAGTGGATTATGCCCAGGATTGTGGGTTTGTTTTTTTCCATAAAATATACAGAATTAAAATTTCATGTCATTACTGCAAAACTTCACTTTTAAAAATCCGTGCCTCAAATGGCCATTAACATTTTGGTGTACGGGTACTGAGAGACATACAACACAGCCAGCTTTCTTAACTGAATGGAAAAACATGAAATGGATTTCCATAGGAACTTTGTTATGTTCTCTCACTGTACACTAGGTGGAAGTGTTCTGTAAAAATACTGTTGAGATGAAAAATGTGCTGATACAGTCAGAAAATACAGTGTTTGGCTACACTCTGGCCTTGTTATTTTGCCTCTCGACACATACTTAACCCGGTTAGAGACGATTTAAAGTGACGGACGAAAACCCATTTCCGTCCTTGATTAGTTCATCCTTTCAAAAAAACATCTCGTTCTGCGTCCCTAAAATGGGTGTCCGTCCCGGACGAACGGACGGACGGACCGTTCAGTCCCAGGGACGGAATACCCATCTCCGCCTGTAATAAATTGGTTAAAATAGTCCAAACACTTTATACAGACGTCCCAAAAAAGTTGATCTATTTTATTTCATCATTGACATCCAGTTTAAAATCCATATAGTAGTATGCTGCTTCTCCTCAGTAGGCCAACTAAGCCCACAACCAGTATTAGTGGATAAAACATGACTAGTAGCTGCGACAGTCGTTCATCGACGGTGCTTAATTTGCTTACTTGTGAGGACAAAGAGCATACGTGTACTCTACATGATCCTTCAAAGCTTCGTATTAAAAAAAAAAAAAAAAGAATAAATACTACATGAAAGTAACACACATACAGTAAATGTAACAACAACAATAAAATGTCACCAAAAATGAAATCAGAATATGGAACTAATATGGAATAATGTGAATTCATTTTTCATCCATTTTCCGATCCAGTTAATCTTCACAAGGGTCGCAGTGGGTGCTGGAGCCTATCCAAGCTGTCTTCAGGCAGTTGGCGGGGGACACCCCGAACTGGTTGACAGCCAATCACAGGGCACACAGAGACGAACAACCATCCGTGCTCACACTCACAGCTAGGGACAATTTAGAGCATTCAATCAGCCTGCCATGCATGTTATTGGAATGTGGGAGGAAACCGGAGTACCCGGGGAAAACCCACGCAGGCAGGGGGAGAACATGCAAACTCCACACAGGGAGGCCGGAGCTGGAATCGTACCTCTCCACTGTGAGGTCGACGCGCGAACCACTGGCTCACCGGGACGCCCAACAGTTAACATAAAATAACAAAATAATATAACACAACACAACATAAAACACGGACAGTCATGCATTCTTAGCCATTTTTCCTGCATGCGCTTTGTTGTTTACGACACACTCTTAACAACTTTGTCAGACTACAGTAGTAGGTTAACAACATGCGACTCGTAAAATCATGCACTGGTTGTGTGCTTTGAGCACTTCCAGGCACAACATTCTACTAGCTAACGTGGTGCGCATATGTCAAATAGTGTCCGGTTTTTGTTTCACCCAACCACCAGTAGTTGTCCTACTGGGAGCCTGTGTAGAAGTAGTAGTTGGGGGTGGGGAAACATGAATATGTTTTACGAGTGCCCTACCCATTCTATTGGGAGGCTGAATTGTCTTAGTAGTGATGAGAAATAGCGTACTGGTACTGTACATGGTCCTGAAGCTGTGCATCACGGATATGTAATCAATGCTCAAAAGTCTTTCCAAATTCTACAGTTTGCCTCAGATCACCGAAACCATATTTTATCATTCGTTCTTATTCCTACGAATGAAGAGCATGAAGTAAAACGTATCGGCGCTGCTAAATTCCAGCGCACCACTAAACGGAGCTTCTGCGTGCGCAAGTGCGCACTGCCCACTGGATGCCTTGAACCAGCTTTGTGCAGCGGCTCGGTTTTATGTACTCACATCCAGAATAACGGAGATGCCTCTCCGCGGTTCCGGGGCAAAGAATTGCTCTTGAGCCACTGCCACCTCCTCCTTGCTGGAGGCGTACTCCCGGCTGGAGATGTTCTTGTTGTCGCTCATTTTGGTGACGATCCAGCGGACGAGCCCGTCAATTCCACCGGGCTGGGCGCCGCTGTTTCCGGACTGAGCTGCCGTTTCGGACTCGCTGTCCTGACCGGCTACGGGCTTGGTCTGTTCGCGGCTTTCCTGGGCTCGAAGTTTGGCTTGTTCTTTGTTCAGCAGTTTGTGGACTCCGTCCCTACAGTAGCGCGCTGCCTGCTCGCACATCCTTTTGCTCGGGAGCGCTCATGCTGCGTTTGATGGGGGAGAAGCGACCCCCTCCCCGAGCCGCCCTTCCCGGTTACATCACAACCCCACCCTGAAATACGCTGAACGGTAGCCACTTTTACACGTCGACAAAAGGACAGTTAAACTACTTCACGTTTACTGCCATGCACATTGTTCGACAAGACACTGGTCATCTCTGGACCCACGATGCGTTTAAAGGTTTCTTGCTGTAACTTTTAGAGTAATTACCTGCACTTAATCACATACAAAACGCGCTAGAGTTGCTGTGAATTATACTATTGCGTTAAAACAATTCCATTAAAAATGTTATTATACGGCTTACTATTTAATAATTTGTTTGTAAATGTGCCATTGCTGAGTGGTCAGGCCCAGCAAGACATTCTCTAATCGCTGCTGAAATTTGACTTTAGCTCGAATATTGACATGTAAAGGTTGCACTTAATTTACTTAATTCTAATGTCTTTCTTGATTTTAGTCTCCTCTCCATTTGTAGCAGGGATGGCGCTACCCCGAGGCTAGGGGGTGCTATAGCTTCGTCAGAACTCTGTGTGGCCCCAGGTAAACCACTCCAGCATTTTAGTTGATAAAATATTAATAAAAATATTCTGAATATTTTTCACAGCTACCTATGTATCGGCCGAGGTCCCTTTAGCCCTGGGAGAGAAAAAAAAACCCTGGGGCCGTCGTGTCTGATTTGTAGCGTTTTTCTTGGCTGCTTTCTCGTATTTATTGATATACAGTATTATCTATACACAGTATATTATATACATATTATATTTCCATACATATTTTTACTTACTCGGATGTAAAGTTTGGCACCGTTTATACGCGGATGTCCCAACCCACCTGGCAGAGTGGATTCTCAATTTTCTCAGTCACCAATTGAGAATCAGTCGTGCTGGCCTACATCATCAATATTGCTGGCCCATTTAACTTTAGTTATATTAGCAATGAGATCATTCAGATTTCAAGGTTTGCTATGCTTTTGTCCTGTTATTACAAACATATTTATTCGGAATTGCTGCCGAAGATGTGGCACATCATGCAGCTGTTATATTACCCTTTTATATGTAATTGATGGCTTCCATATGATGGTGGTATTAAGAGGTTGGGGGTGGGATTACGAGGGTGATTCAATCAGGCCTCCACAAATGATCACGAACGAAAGGCACATGAAGTGCCAGATTTAGTGAAACAAAACACAATGATGACATCAAGGGTGTAAGCGGCCATATCCTGACTTATTCCTTATTACACCCAGTAGTACTGAAAGGAACTATCAACTTGTCTTTTCCATCTTCTTCCAAACATATGTGAACGTAACAACACAATTTTGGCCAAAAAGAGATGGGACTTTGGTCACAGACAGGTGTCAATAGACAAAACACGAGTGCCCTCGTGTGGTCATTGGTCATTACAGCGAGTGCCGATGCGGGTTGCTTCTTGATGGACTGTTTCTCAAATGCAGCTTTCTTTTTCTTGGAAGGTGTCGGCTCTTCTTCGGTCTCATCATTTGATCTTTTTACCTTTCAGAAGAAGTGTTTTTTTTGATCGTTTGTTTTTGTGTACTAGCTCCTGGGGTCACTCTTTACTTCTATATCACATGCCTGAAAAGAATAGCTTGACATCTATCAAACAGCAAATTTTGAACAAATATATTTCATACCTTCATAGATAAATGAACTATATTTTATGTTCAGTGTCTCTGTGCGGGCAAGTACCAAATGTCCCATGGACTGGTATTAGTACACTGCCTAGTGGTCAGGGATCGCTGCTATATTGTACAGTATTGTTGGATTTATTTTGGGACGGCATTGGCTTGTTTATCATTTATTTATACATGTGACAACAAACTGTTTTTTTAACAGGAAATCACAACATTTTGAACTAGTATTATTTGTGGTTCTGCTAACTCCATCTTTGTTGGGACTAGGATGACTCCAGCAGGTTCCCTCTCAAGTAATAAATCCATGAGCAGATACTTTGCGCCTCTGTGGCTTGGTTGGTGATGGTCAATTTGCCAATACATGGCCCTGGCGAGCCTCCTTCTGGGGCCACAAAGTACACCTGGATGGGTTGTGTTTTTTTAGAGAGGAAGGTGTCTGCTGCTTTGACTGTAAAACAGGGGTTGTCCACCTGTGAAACAGACCGCTGTTTAGTTACATACTGTATATTTGACAACAATGAACATATTTTAGAAGCTGGAGTTACTTGATAGTGATGTCATATACAATACCTGAAAAGAAAATACTGTGGTCTGCAGGAACACATTTTTGAAGGGGATAGAGATGCTACGGCCATTCCGAATGTTGAACGGTCCTTGTGTTTTGGAAGGGAGGCCAACCCCATGTAATAGAAAGACGTATTCACCCCCGATTCCAGAAGACAGGTGAAGCTGGCCTTTCACTTCTCCAAGCTGATAAGGCTCAAAACAAACCTCCACACTGACTTGAGATCCTGTCTGGTTACCTGGCAATGCAGCCACAGTCTTGTTCACAAGGAACGCTGGGCAGTCAGTCTGCAAGTGGGCAAGGGAAGAACAGGACAGAGAAACAAAACATGCTGTCGATAAAATTCCTTAAAGGGGACATGTTCAGCATTTTTGAAAACATGTTTTAAGTGTGTCTCAACATGACTGTAACATGTGTAACTCTTGGCCATCCTATGCTGTCTAGTCCTGGAACGCAGGTGCACGATACAACCAGAGTGGCCATCCTATGCTGTCTAGTCCTGGAACGCAGGTGCACGATACAACCAGAGTAAAGTACGTAGGGAAGATTTTCAAGGCGCCGAGGAGTGAGAGTCACTCATCTACTATTGCACTGCCCATTTATCAGGCGTCATGGAGAAAAAAAACAACCCCCCCCCCCACAAAGATCAATAATTATGGTACACTTCCCACAATCTAGCCCATTTTGAGGCAGTGGTCCTCTCACATGCAAGTGAGGGACTATTTATGCTGTTGAGTCAATGGAGGGAAGTATTAAAATGATCACCTGAGGCACAGCTGGTAACTATACGTTTGACAATAAAGTTGTACTTGATACTTGATTGTAACTAGGTGAGTGGCTTCTCATTGGGGAGTGGCCGAAAAGACAGTTAAAACATGTTCACTTACAAAAGGCAGCACTTCAGGTACTACACTTCATACAAGAGTCAATTATTGTGCTGATCTGCGCATGTGGCACAAACACACCACCACACATATACACCACATCTCCTTCCCCACATTGACAACTTCAGGGAGCAGTCAAGTATGTACTCTTTAGCAGAAGCTAATGATGTCAACTTGTGCTAATCTGTGCAAAACTCTGTGCAATTTTGCTTATCGTTTGCCTTTGACGTGATAATGTGTAAAACAGTGTAGTCTTGCTGTCGCCTGAAAGGGGCAGGTCTTCATCCAACCTGGCGGCCGAGTTATGGACAATTTTGTGGGGACATTTTATTGTGGAAATAAGATGATTTGTAACCACATTTTCTCAATTCAGAAATAGGCATTCAGAAGTCTTGATTGTTTAATGTCACATTGATGGCTAAGCAGGCACTTTTAGAACATGTTGGGTTCCCCTTTAAATTTCAACACCACACTGTCATTCCTACCTTGCAAGCATATTCTGTTTTGAAGTGGGAGAAGTTGAGGAACTTAACAGCAACACTGTGGCTGCTCCCCAGAGACGCGCTGAATTGAATTGTCTTCTCTGGTGGTTGAGGCAGTGCTCGGAGAAGAAGACCATAGTGAAAGTAACCAAGATCACTACAAAACAGAGACAGCCGGGAGGTCGTCTCGCCGACACGGAGCGGCTGGTAGTCGAAGGTGAGAGCACCCTAATGAGAGAGAACACATAAACAGTGCTTGTGGGTTCAAACCAAAGCACGTTGGGTATGCCCTGCGTAATCTTTTACCTTTGACATTCCTGGAACAGTGTGCAGACTTGGGGCACTGATGTCAGGGCATTTACAGTCAACTGTGAGGCAGATAGGTGTGGTCAGAGGGTTCTCCACTTCTATGGTGGCTGAAGTCTTCTCGCGGACATTTGACACCAATTCTACTACAGACAAATCTACCGGGCTGGTAACCTTGAAGTTAATAATGTAGAACAAGTACTCCCCCGATGCTTCATTCAGAAATGTCACCTATGGAGAGAGGCTTGTGTAACTTCCAAAAATAGTTCAATCAGAACTCAAATATGTGTTTGTGTTCAAACCTTGGCGTTGTACTGGCCCTCTCTGAATGTGTAAAAATGAATCTTGTAGTCCTTCTTAGACAAAGCCGGGACATCAATGTACTCACGACCCTTTAGAGACACCGTAGTATCTGGATTTTCAGGACTTAGAAACTCTATGATGACAAGGAACCTGGGCACACATAAACATTTATGACGGGACTCTGCATCAACATGTTTGATTCCACAGAATTTGATATGTATAATTTTCAGATATCCAGACTATTTTAACAACAAAATATTTTCTTTTCTGTAATTGGCTGGCAACCGGATCAGGGTGTCCCCCGCCTACTGCCCGAAGACAGCTGGGATAGGCTCCAGCAGCCCCCGCGACCTTGGTGAGGATCAAACGGTTCGGAAAATGAATTAATGAATATTTTCTTTTACCAAGAATGCACAACTTTCAAGACTTTGGGTCAAAGGACTTATGTTTTTTTTTCTGTCAAAATGTGACTGCAGAGTAAATTTACTGATGTAAAGAAGCTTGTTTTGTACAAGATATGTGGTTGATATGTTTCCTGTCATATGCCATTTTTAAGGGGACACTGACTCCAGGGCTACTAAATATTGTATGTGGCAAACTTTTCTGGGTATAGCTGTAATATTGATGACATTCCTGGAACAGTGTGCAGACTTGGGGCACTGATGTCAGGGCATTTACAGTCAACTGTGAGGCAGATAGGTGTGGTCAGAGGGTTCTCCACTTCTATGGTGGCTGAAGTCTTCTCGCGGACATTTGACACCAATTCTACTACAGACAAATCTACCGGGCTGGTAACCTTGAAGTTAATAATGTAGAACAAGTACTCCCCCGATGCTTCATTCAGAAATGTCACCTATGGAGAGAGGCTTGTGTAACTTCCAAAAATAGTTCAATCAGAACTCAAATATGTGTTTGTGTTCAAACCTTGGCGTTGTACTGGCCCTCTCTGAATGTGTAAAAATGAATCTTGTAGTCCTTCTTAGACAAAGCCGGGACATCAATGTACTCACGACCCTTTAGAGACACCGTAGTATCTGGATTTTCAGGACTTAGAAACTCTATGATGACAAGGAACCTGGGCACACATAAACATTTATGACGGGACTCTGCATCAACATGTTTGATTCCACAGAATTTGATATGTATAATTTTCAGATATCCAGACTATTTTAACAACAAAATATTTTCTTTTCTGTAATTGGCTGGCAACCGGATCAGGGTGTCCCCCGCCTACTGCCCGAAGACAGCTGGGATAGGCTCCAGCAGCCCCCGCGACCTTGGTGAGGATCAAACGGTTCGGAAAATGAATTAATGAATATTTTCTTTTACCAAGAATGCACAACTTTCAAGACTTTGGGTCAAAGGACTTATGTTTTTTTTTCTGTCAAAATGTGACTGCAGAGTAAATTTACTGATGTAAAGAAGCTTGTTTTGTACAAGATATGTGGTTGATATGTTTCCTGTCATATGCCATTTTTAAGGGGACACTGACTCCAGGGCTACTAAATATTGTATGTGGCAAACTTTTCTGGGTATAGCTGTAATATTGAGTTGATGAGAAACAACCAATAAAAAACAAATGAAAAAAACAAAAAACAAAATAATTAACAAACCGAGATTTAAAAGAATTAGGAGTGAATGAAGCGGTAAATCTACTATACATGCTTTACCGTTTCTGCTTTGAGAGCCAGTTGGTCACAGGGAGTATCTGTGTGTGATGGGTCTTGGCAGGTAGTTCATGTACAATCGTGCTCTCTGCTTTAGGAGCTTCAGCAGTTCCTTGTAACGAATACAGCATGCCAGCTCCGTTGGGGAATGAGAAAAAAACGGACCCCTGAAGATAAAGGAGAAAGCTCATATTAGAGATTTTAATGTGAAATTATATTTTTGACTAATTTTCTAAAAATCTAAAAATATCTCTTTCTTCAGGCTTCTGTGTGATCACTCTTACTGTCGTCGGAATTTCCATCAAAATTCATAGGCTCCCGCATGCATGAACGTTCATTAACTTTATTGTTGCTGTTTATAATTGTTCCTTTGAAAAAAATGCAAAAGGTTGCGGAGTTTTTATCTTGTTTTTTTGTATTCAAAGTAACTTTTGTTG